CTGTCCCTGCCTGGCTGGCTGAAGGGCAGGGCTGGAGGCGTTGGGGAGGATGGGACATTGTGGGCACGGGTGAACCAGCAGGTGTCCCCTGCCCCAGCTGGGCCCCACTTGATGAGGAAAGGAGGGTCCCAGCCCCGGGATGCCTGGACAGCTCCTGCCTCCCTGTGCCACTGCTCCTGGCCCCACGCTGCCCGCCCCGACAGCCCCTCTGCCAGGCTGTGGGAGGGGCACTTTGCTCTCACCTGGCTCCCTCCCTTCGAGGGGCTCCTCCTCCCTGTCTGACATGGGACGTGTCAGCGGTGGGTCCCTGTCTCACTGTCCCACCGGTGAGTGGAGCTCCCAGCACTGGGTGCTCTGACACGGCTCCTCTCACGGTGACTTCAGGATCTGCTGGATGAATTTGGGGTCTGACAATGCTGGTGGGAGTGGTTTTGCCTGCAGTCAGGACTCTGACTGCTGGAGCAGCTGCTGTCCTCAGTTGCTGGGAAGCTGCTCTGGAATATCCCCAATGTTACCTGACTGTCAGGGCTGGAGATGCTCATCTTTTGTGAGGGGGATTCCAGAGTCTCCTCCGATGTTGCCTGTAGGTTGATATGGAGTTTGCTCGTCCTGGGGTGATGGTCTTGCATTCTGTCGAGTTGTCAGAAGAGTTCTTCATGAGAGCAACAGCTCTGAGTCTTAACTGGAGGCTGTAAGGGGAAGCAGGAGGGTCAAGGTGGCTCCAGGCCCGGGATAAGATAGGCCAGAGCAGTGTCTCCAGTCCTCCTGGAGCAGACAAGCTCAGCCAAGCCAATTCTGGACACCCGTTGCCAGGCCCAGGGTCACCAGGCCCAGGGTCACCTGGGTGCTTTGCCTTTTACCTGTGCCCAGACCAGCACAGCCATCAGAGTCCCAGCTGGTTGTGCTGTCCCTCAGGCCAGAGCAGTGTCTGGGGGTGCTCTCAGCAGCACAGGAGGAGCACAGGAGCAGTTCCCAGGGCCTGGGGAAGCAAACGGGTTCATGGAGGTGCTGAGCTCTTCTCCTGGGTCCTTCTGCTTCAAGCCCTGCAGAGTCCTGGGAGGCAGCTTTGGCAACTTACCCCTCCTCCTCTGCCTCCTGCCTGCCTCCTGGACAAAGGCACTCACTGGCATCACAGTGCCTCTGTCTCTCTCCTGGCTCAGTGAATGCATTCAAGCCCTCCCCTCATGGTGGTCTGATGGGAAAAGGAAAACTGATGAGCTCCCTCTGCCCCAGCATAGGGCAGGTGTACGGTATCCCTGCTCTTCCCCCTGTACCATCACAGCAGGCAATGGTGGCCCCGCTCTGGCCACAGATGCAGCAGCTCTGGAAAGAGCAGAGCAGCCCCATCAGCAGCAGCCTCAGAGCCTCCTCCTTCTCCCCGAGCTGGTTGGAAGGGCTGGGCTTTCTTGCTTGGGGTCTGGGCTAAGCTCCAGCAAACCTCGCCTGGCACAAATCTCCCTGCTCTTGTCAGGCTCTCACCTTCTGTGCTTCCCGGGAGACTACATCTTGGATATCCCTTGGGAGAAAGCCAAAGAGTCCTACTGGATCATCATTGTGCTGAGGAAGGTGGCTGGTAAAAAACTGTAGAAAAAATGACACACACTGATGAGCAGAGAGTGGCAGGGACTGCCTGTCAAAACATGGTGGGAGCCCATGAAGCAACTCACCAGGCAGAACTCGTGGGCACAGAACCCATTTATCTGGAGTTGTTCCCCACAGATGTCCAGGTCAGCTTCTGATTGTTGACACAGCAGGCATGCTGGAGGGGAGAGAGACAATGGCCCCGGGCATGGCACCTGTACTGCCCGCCCCGACAGCCCCTCTGCCAGGCTGAGGGAGGGGCACTTTTCTCTCACCTTTCTCCCTCCCTTCGAGGGGCTCCTCCTCCCTGTCTGACATGGGACGTGTCAGCGGTGGGTCCCTGTCCCACTGTCCCACCGGTGAGTGGGGCTCCCAGTACTGGGTGCTGCAACACGGCTCCTATCACGGCAGCTTCTGGATCCACTGGATGAATTTGACGTCCGACGCTGCTGGTGGGAGTGCTGTTGCCTTTGGAAAGTCCTGGCTTCTGTCTTCCTTGAGTTTTGCCTCCCAGTACTCAGTGCTGGTGTGCAGTTCCTGCCATTGTGACTTCTGGACCCACCAGATGGATCTGGGGTCTGCTGTTGCAGGCGTGAGTGGTTTTGCCTGCAGGATGTCTCTAATGGTCTCAGCCTGGTCCTGCGCCTCCCAGGACTTGGTGCTGGTACGTGGGTTCTGTCCTGGGGACTTCTGGACCGAAGGTGTGGATTTTGGGCCCGACGTTGCCGGCAGGAGTGGTTTTGCCGGCGGTCAGGCCCCCGACTGCTGGAGCAGCTGCTGTCGTCAGTTTCTGTGAAGCTGCTCCTGGATGACCCCGATGTTACCTGACTGTCAGGGCTGGAGGTGCTCATCTCCTGTGAGGGAGATTCCAGAGACTGCTCCGATGTTGCCTGGGGGTTGGTACGCTGGTTGCTGGTCTGTAACGCTGAAGATACAGGAGATGGCACTGGGATGCTGGTGCTGGGGCTGATGGTCTCCAGTGGTGCAGAACTAGGAGACAGCCCTGGTAGCACCAGGCTGCCTGCGTTGGTGCTGGTGGTCTCGGGTTCTCTGGAGCCATCAGAAGGCTCCAGTCCTGACAGTCAAGCCATGCTGGGGCCAGCAAGCTCCAAGTCATCTTTGGAGGCTGTAAGGGGAAGCAGGAATGTCAAGACCACCTCAGAGCCAGGGCAGGATAGGCCAGAGCAGTACTGCCAGTGCTCCTGGAGCAGACAGGCTCTGCCAAACCCACCCTGGGTACCCACCGCCAGCCCCTGCCTGGCACCTGGCCAAGGGGAACCCCAGTGCTTTGGAAAAGAGGGTCCCAGTCCCGGGATGCCTGGACAGCTCCTACCTCCCCCTGCCACCGCTCCCAGCCCCACGCTGGCCACCCTGACAGCCCCTTTGCCAGGCTGCGGGAGGGGCACTTTGCTCTCACCTGGCTCCCTCCCTTGGGGGGCCTCCTCCTTCCTTTCTGACGTGGGATGTGTCAGTGGTGAGTCCCTGTCTCACCGTCTGAGCGGTGAGTGGGACTCCCAGCACTGGGTGCTCTATCACGCCTCCCATCACGGCGACTTCTGGATCCGCTGGATGAATTTGAGGTCCGACGCTGCTGGCGGGAGCGCTGTTGCCTTTGGGAAGTCGTGGTTGCTGTCTCCCTTGAGTTTCGCCTACTAGCACTCCGTGCTGGCGTGCAGTTCCTGCCAAGGGGACTTCTGGACCGGCCAGATGGATTTGGTGTCTGACGTTGGAGGCGAGAGCGGTTTCGCCTGCGGGATGTTCCTGATGCTTCCTGGCTGGGGGTGCGGCTCCCAGCACTTGGTGCTCTCACATAGTTTCTGTCACGGCGACTTCTGGACCGGCCAGATGGATTTGGGAACTGTTGCCGTTGGCGGGAGCGACTTTGTGTGTTGGATGTTCTCGATGCTTGATGGCTGCGGCTGCTCCTCCCAGCACTCGGTGCTCTCACGTGGCTCCTGTCACGGCGGCTTCTGGACCGGCCAGATGGATTTGGAGTCTGACGTTGCAGGCGGGAGCAGTTTCGCCTGCAGGATGTCCCTGATGGTCTCAGCCTGGTCCTGCGCCTCGCAGGACTTGGTGCTGGTACGTGGCTCCTGTCCTGGGGACTTCTGGACCGAAGGCGTGGATTTTGGGCCCAATGTTGCCGGCGGGTGCGGTTTTGCCGGCGGTCAGGCCCCCGACTGCTGGAGCAGCTGCTGTCATCAGTTTCTGTGAAGCTGCTCTGGGATGACCCCGATGTTACCTGACTGTCAGGGCTGGAGCTGCTCGTCTCCTGTGAGGAAGATTCCAGAGACTGCTCCGATGTTGCCTGGCGGTTGGTACGGTGGTGTCTGTTCTGTGGTGCTGAAGTTCCGGGAGATGGCACAGGTACACTGGTGCTGGGGCTGATGGTCTCCAGTGGTGCAGAACTAGGAGACAGCCCTGATAGCACCAGGCTGCCTGTGTTGGGGCTGATGGTCTCGGCTTCTCTGGAGCCGTCAGAAGGCTCCAGTCCAGACTGTCTGGCCACGCTGACAGCAGCAAGCTCCGACTCATCTCGGGGAGCTGTGAGGGGAAGCAGGAATGTCAAGGTCACCCCAGACCTGGGGCAGGATAGGGCAGAGCAGTACCGCCAGCCCTCCTGGAGCAGACAGGCTCCACCAAACCCTCCCTGAGCACCCACTGCCATGCCCAGGGGCACCAGGCCCAGGGTCAGCAGGGTGCTTTGCCTCTTACCTGTGCCCAGGCCAGCACAGCCATCACATTCCCAGCTGGTTATACTGTGCCTCAGGCCAGAGCAGTACCTGTGGGTGCCCTCGGCAGCACAGGAGGAGCACAGAAGCAGTTCCCAGGGCCTGGGGAAGCAAATGGGTTCATGGGGGTGAGGAGAAAGTGCCCAAAGCATGGGATTATCAGGCTGAGATCTTCTCCTGGGTCCTTCTGCTTCAAGCCCTGCAGAGGCCCAGGATGCAGCTTTGGCAACTTACCCCTCCTCCTCTGCCGCCTGCCTGCCTCTTGGAAAAAGGCACTTAGTGGCATCGCAGCGCCTGTGTCTGTCTCCCAGCTCAGCGAATGCATTAATGCCCTCCCATGATGGTGGTCTGATGGGAAAAGGAAAACTGATGAACTCCCTCTGCCCTGGCATCGGGCAGGTGCAGGGTGTCCCCGTTCTTCCCCCTGTGCCATTTCCAGCTCCTGTGGGAAGCTGAACCCGGGACTCACAGAACAGGGCAGGGCCTGGACTGCTGGGGCAGGCCCTGGCACAGCACTTGCCACTTGCACCCCCTGTGTCGTGAGCCAGGCAGAAGGACACGAACCTCAAGGGGATTCGGATCCCCATGGTTAACATATCTCTGATAAACGCGTTATCATTTCTGCAGAGGGGGCACTGGATGGGGAAAAAACCAGCATGCATAGCCTGTCCCTGCAGGAGAAACACAAGTAGTGAGAGTGAGGCCCTGGTGCTGCTGAGCCCCTGCTGTGCCCCCGGGGTGAGGGAACCACTCCTACTTGGATGCAGTCCCTGTGGAACCAGGCGGTTTTGCAGGCTGGGCACACCATGGTATTAAAAGTCTTTCTGTGCTCCACAGGCTCCATGCAGATGAGGCATTCGGTGCCCGGCTCTGGAGTCGCCTCCACTGTCTGCTCTGGGCTGTGTGTGGGGCAGAAGGTCCTGGGGGGAAAAGGGGTGGGTGAGGTGAGAAGTGCTGGGCCCTTCC